AATAAAAAAAATATATAAAGAGGCTTCCTTACAGCACCGTTCTTGAGAACAAGAAAATCCTTCTTTAGCATTGTCCAGTGTAAAATTGTTGATAATCGTTGCCATCGATGTTTATAGCTTTTACATAAAGTTTCGTGCATTGCGAACAAATCACGATATTCAGCCATCTATAAAGAACTAATATGAACAGCTATAGAATAGAATTGATCAAAACTATACGAAGAAAATGACTAAAAATAATAAATTAAATTCCACAGTTATAAGAACGACAATTAAAAGAAACCATCTGTCTTTGTACAAAAAACATCAGTAAGACTAACTACTGAATAAATCGAAACAATAGATAACACTTGAATTATTTAAACGAGAAAGAGTAAACAATTATATAACATCTATAGAGACATCTTTTGATTTAAATGATTTTTAACAAATAAAAGAATTTTCGATATCGATTATTCATTCATCCACTATGACGTCATTTCCCTTCTTTCATATCCATCTGTCCATGTATCAGTAAATTATTGAAATACAATCATTATCATATGTATTAAATCGGCACTGTTTAACAACTAATTGAAGTGAATATATGTTGCAGAAGAAATTAAAATTCCAAAAAATTTAAAATTTTCTAAGGAAAAATATTTTTTCTTCTATTAATCAAGATGATAAGGACCTTCTTTCATTACATCTTCTCTAGATGCACTTGAATGACATAAATGAAGGACAATTTTTAAGAATAGTTGCAAATGATATTTTCGATGCAGATTTTTGACACAAGTTTTCCGGATTAAACTCGATTTTCAATCATATTTTGCTTGTTTTATTCGGTGTAGAAGTAAAGAAGGAGACATTATTCGCTCGAATTCTTTTATATGATGATTTGAAAATATTTTTCAAGATTCGTTTTAATATCTTTTCATATTAATCAAGAAATACATTCAACAAGATAATGTAAAAATTATTATTTATAGATCGTATAAAGATCAGAATTTTCTTCTAAGTAGAAAAGTAAAATAACGATGATTTATTGACATACTGCAAGTTACTGTAGTCGTTCTGTCAGTGTCGTTGTGTGTGACTAATGTAATGAAGAAAAATCACGTTAGATATTCTTCTTTTTGGCTATGTAATAAGAAAGAAAAATCCATGCTAAATACATAGAAAAACATGTATACGAGATCATCCTTAACAGAATAATGGGTAAATTAATTATTGCGATTTTTCTTCTCTCAATGACATAGACATCTTATAATAAAGTTTCGTATTAAAATCTAAGATTCAAATGATCTTTTCCTATGTAAACTCAAATAATACATTTAATGAAGTTGAAAGAAGACAGAATTTAATAGTACATGCATGATATATTATCATTCCAGTATGGTAATATTCAACAAGCTGGTCAAATCGGTATAAGTGGTAAATTACGTGTAGTTGTATCTATTAATGCACGCAATTCTTTAACAAATCCATATCAAGGAAAAACATACAGAAGTTTTCCTCTGTATTTTCTACTTGTAAATTGAACTTATGACGAACGAGTAAATTTAGAGTATTATTATTATTAGATTTATATAGTTTGTTATACAAATGATTGTATAACTCTTCTTTCAAAGACATGGTGTATAAACTTTTATTTGTTCTCTTTATTTCAAATTACACTCTAGTTTTTATACTTCAGGATTCGAAAGTTAATCACTCGATTCAAAACTAACTAATTAATTGTTATTCAATATCGGTGTATTTTCTTAAATATTATTCAATCGAATAATATTCAGAAAATACAAGAAAATGAAAATTGTAGAAAAACTTTGATGAATCAACAACAGCTTGAATTGGTCAATAGTAGTAGTTGGTCAATGAGTTCAAACTCTATCGATATGGATCAAGATGATAGTTGTAAAGATCCTGAACAAATATCGTCAAGTATTGATGCAGCAAGAAGTGATGAACATATTTTCGATAACACAAATAGATATCATGGTGAGTTATTCGTAAAAAAAAGTCACATTATCTGATATTATATATAATAATTTTAATTCAAAAAACATTAGATACAACTTTACAAGAGATATGAGTCATTCTTTTTCTTTTACTTTATTTATTTACTAAAGAAACAGCCAATAGATGTGAAATAAAAATAAATCTGGAAACCTCGGATTTAAATCCGAGTGTTATGTGTACTTCAAAAAGTGGATGAGACAGATGAGTCAACCTAGAATGTGTGGACGTAAAAATTATCCTGGCAAACATTTTCGATAAACACTTGATTTCTATTGGCTACTGCTCAACCAATAGGATTTAGATGTGAATAGAGCTCAGATTTCAACTCTTCGCCTTGATTTAGGCCTTGTCTCCACTAGAAAAATAATGCGGATTAAAAGTCGAATTAAAACAACGCGTGTCTTCACCTACAAGTTAATGCGCCAATAGAAAATGAGGTCGTGCCACTATAATGTAGACGAAGTGCATAAATGTAACACACTTTTGCAAAAGGAAATATCGCGTTTTTGGTTTCTAAGTAGATAGAGGGAATCACTATTGAACTAAATTCAATGATGAATTGTGCATTCGAGAACGGAATTGATCAGTGTGAGGGTTATTTTAAACTTTTACATTCAATATAAAATTTGAAATTTTGTTAAATTGTTATAGAAGATGTAATGAATCTGAAAGCAAGGCTCTTCTATGCCAAATGACATGTATAAAGAGATGCTTTGTCAAGAGAACACCTGTGAGGACATCGAATACACGAGGCACTCGATAAATTTTTTTTTCTTTTTCGAAGCTCATCCAAAACTTCACTGTCTAAAACTACTAACCCTAAAATTTTAGGTTCTAATATTTGAATGAGCAAAAAAAGAAAAAAAATTTTATCGAGTGCCTCATATATTTGAGCACTGTTTAATCAGTTCATGGAAGCTCTCTTAACTATTATTTTTTTTTAAACCGTTTATATTTATTTACATTTATGTTAAACTACGGAAATTTACTTGAAACACAATAAATGTTATTAAAACAACGATTTGAACAAAAATATATTTCTACATATGTAATCGTTTAACAATACGAATAAAAAAATGATTATATTTTTTTTATTTATACAACAATTGAATTAAGAAAAACCTAGTTAGAACATAAAACTCAGATTGGATTTTGTGAAAAGTATTGAGTCAATGCTTCTCTTGCTGCTAATGAACCCGTTGTTTGTATAGTACATGTTGGTTTTCTATATATTGGTTCACTGATGTCCCAATCAATTTCAACAGAATCTTGATTTAAACAAGATAACAACATGAAAATAATAAACACTACTCTTTACGAACGAAAATTTCTCTGTAATGATAAAGCAAATATTTTATTATGATTAACGTAAAATGAATAGGTTATAATATAATATTAATTGTAACTATATAATTCATTAGAATATTTTTACTGAGAACATTTACAATACTCTGGAAAAAATTGCTTGATGATAAGTTAAAAAGTAAAATATTACATTGATATTTAGACTAGAACAATTTAAACACTAGATGTGTATCAATATTTAAAAAAATATTATTAATAGACACAGAAATAATATGTTGAAAGAATATAGAAAAATATAACTTATAAACTGATATTAAATAAACTATAATATTCAATTTTTTTATCAAATACATTTATATATATTAATAAAGACGAGGAAGAACATAAGATAAATCATAAAATAATATTTATCGTGGTGTATTAAAACTGTTTGCAATACTTCTAAATACGTTCAAAAATTCTTTCTCATTATTCAAACTCTCTTCTTGTAATTTTGTTTGTTTTTCCAATAAAAGCAATGCCTTTGATTCTGCTTTAGTAGCTATTTCATTAGCACCATCAATTTTGTCGATCATTTGTCGAATAAGTTCTATACTAAAAATTAAAGTAGCGGATAATGTGAACTATTGATGATACAAAACATTTATTTACCGCATATCTGCCACTTTCTTCTTTTTTGATGATAAACTTTTTTTGTTCGATATGTCAGGCGTGGTCGAGGTGGTATTTTTTTGTATAGATATTGAATTAGATGGACTTTTTGAATTGTATGATCGATGATCAAAATTATTTGTAGATTCTTCAATATCTTTGATTAAATTCGATATATTATCATCATCATCATCTTTTGTTAACGAATTTAGATTCAAATCAGAAGCTGAAACATTTTCAATTTCTTCAAGAAATTGTTCTTGAAGAGATATTGAATCAGAAATAAGACTCTCATCATTAAATGGACGTTCACCTAGTCGGCAAGATAAATAAAAGGTACAAATGATACTATAATGAAAAAAAACATTGTTCTTTACCGAGAAGTTTGTCGATTTGTTCAAAATATCGCCACGACGACGGACTACTACCTGTTTTGCCTGATTCTTTTCTTTTTTTTCTATATTCAGCAACGAGATTCGTTATTTTTGCCTTCACATCTGCACCTGTCATTACTCGTGGTGATAAAAACTCATTCAATTGTTTTGCCATTGCATGATAAATCTTGGTATTTCTTGTTCCGCCCGTCATCAAACTCTCATAATGCTCACTCCAAATATCAATGAAAACAGCTGTGTCTTCTTCTGACCAATTTTTACTTCGTTTGTTTTTTTTGGGCCTAAAGAAAATGAAAAACTACTTTTTTTTGCAATAAAAAATGACTAAGAGTTTTTTTCATTTTCACTTGTTGACAACGATTTTGTAACAAATTTTTTATTCGATTGAGATGACGAGGAATGGTGTCGTTTCATGGACATTGACGATGATGATGGCACAGTTTCGATAGAGCTATTATCTGTAAATATTGTTTTAATAGAATGAATTCATTTTTATACAATTAAGTAAAAGCATTATCTTTACCTATATTTATTATTGAATCGCATTGTACAAAAGTATTTTCTAATGAAGCACTTGCAGATGTAGATAATATTTGAGGTGGTTCTTGATTTGAAGGTGCTGCTACTATTGTCGAACATATTGGTTGATTGGTATTCAATGAAGCTGGTGGTGTGCGTAATGCAGCATTATTTTCCAAAGTAGAAGGTATAGCAGATGAGCTAACAACAGAAGCATTTGACTTAATCAAACGAACTTGTACTGGTACACATGGTCGTGGATGTTGCAATATTTCCTGTTGCATTGGTGCAAGAAACTGAATTTGTTTATTCGAAGGAATAATTATTCGAACACATTGAGGTTTCATCTTAAACTTTCGTGGTAAATGTAAAAAAATATTACTGTATTCTGTATCAAAAATCAAAATAAGATGTACCCATGAGAGTATTTTTTAATATATACATAAGTTTTATTCAATAATATCCGGAAAACCTGCTACTGATAGTTGACATACAGTCGAAAATGAAAGCAGAAAAACCTTTTTACTGGAAGAAAGTTTAAAACATTTTCAATGAGACGGTAATTTTTCGAAAATTGGTAGTCAAATATTACTCATTTCGAAAATATGCTCTTTTCTCTGAATATCCTCATATATGACTAAGATATTGAACGAAATTGGTAGATTTGACACTCTTTTGAGTTTTGACAGATAGGACAAACTGTCAGTAGCCATTGTTCTGTTTTATCTGCCTCGACAGTGTATCCCATAATTATTATAATCTTTATTATTATTAATATTTACTTCTCCTTTTGATCTAGTTTCATTAATATTTTTATATATTTTTATTTACATATATGTGTTTTTATTTTACTTCATGCGATTTTATGGAGGTTTATCATATCATTTTCATTAGACAAGATGATGTCATTTGATTGGTGCATTAAATTTAATGCGCTTTCGAAAGCGCATTAAATGCGAATTAAATTTTCAGCCTATCAAGTTCCTTAATTCAGTATTAAATTTTATAGTGGAGACAAGGCCTTACTCTAACAAAGTCGTTTTTCCTATAACTTGATTTTTATTGGTTACTGCTCAACCAATAGGATTTCGAGACAGACGGAGCTTAGATTGGAGGCAACAAATTTTCGAAAGTTAATAATATAAGTAATTTCCTTTAAACGATTTGTTTTAATGTTTTATTTTTGTTTGATGTAAATTACGATGTAAAAATCTAAAATGAAATGAATACATATTATTAAAAATTTTTAAAAACGAAACTTGAATATTTTCAACAGAAAATTATAAGAAAAAACAAATATTTTTGTTGTTGTAATCTAATTAAGTTCGATAGACATATTGTCATATATAACTATGAAACCTCCATAAGAACTTAGACACAATTTTTTTTCTAGATGTCAGATATTTACATTAATTCATTAATTATCTTTGCGATCGCTTTATTATTATCAGCTGAGTTACAGCTGTAAAGAATCGCTCTGATTGAACGAAGAGACTTGCGGCTAACTTTTCTTGGTATCTTTTAATTATCTCGTATATAAAATCTTTCAAATTCGTCTTTTTTCTAAATTATTTATGATTCAATGATACGTTCTAGTAAAAAAAGAAAAACGAATTTCAACGATTTGATCTTGACACTTTCATCTCGCGTTTAAAGTTTTTTTTTCTGTTTTTCCGTTCTCGAGATCATCGCGACATAAAATGGCCACTTTTGATGCATACGTCAAGTAAGTAGGACTAGATGGTATTCGAGCTTTGACTCGAATACGAAATGCGGTGCGAAGCATGAAACTCTAGAATTTTCGAAAAAACCACATTTTGTAGAAGCGAAAATCTGATTGTCGAGTGAATAGTAATCGTCATTTCTCGTTGGAATGTCACACACTACAGAACATAGATACTTCACTGTATATCATTCGAATTCAAAGAATTATTTTTCCATGAGTCAGCTGATATTAGTCGCGAGAAAATTGAAAACCACTATAATAAAATTTATTACCACGAGAACTCTATGAAAGCCTATGAATACTTTTATGGACGACAATTTCTATTGATCGTTTAATTATCCTCGCGATCACTTTGTTATCAGCTGACTTACAGCTGTAATGAATTACTTCAATAGCTCGAAAAGACTTGCGGCTAACTTTTCTTGCTATCATCATTTTAATTATCTCGAGCATAAAATTTTTCAAATTCCTCTTTTTCCTAAATTATTTCTAATCCAACCGCTTATCTTAATGAAGTATGGAAAACGAATTTCTACGATTTGTTCTCGATTCTTTCATTTCACGTTTCAACGGACTTTTTCTGATTTTTCCGTTCTTGAGATCATCGCGACACAAAATGACTATTTTTGATGCGTACGTCAAGTAAGTAAGAAAAAAAGAAACTAGATGGTATTCGCGCTTTGACTCGAATACGAAATGCGGTGCGAAGCACGAATCTCGAGTCCTGGAAATAAAACGATGTTTCGTAAAAAAACGAAAAATCGATTGTCGGATCAATGGCGATCGTTCTTTCTGGTAAAGTTGTTTACGTACTGGCGAGTATAGACGCTTGTCTGGGTCGTTCAAAATTGAAAATTTACTTTTCCCTCAATCAGATGATTTGAATCGAAAACAAGTTGAAAAGCAGCCATAATGAATTTCATTACTACGATAACCCTACAAGTAACGCGACGCAAACGTCGCTAACCCTCTACTGAAAGGATGTGATTTCCTTGAACATATGGTACTCACGAAGAAGAAGATTACAATACTAATATGCTGCTATGCATCTATAAAAAGATAAATAGTTCTCGTCACCATGGCTCGCTTGCTAATTGATTGGGTTTGATTTAACCATCGTGGGGCGTGGATGTGCGTGGGTGTGTGGGGGTGTGGGACGTGTGGGTATGGATTGTGTGTATGGGTGTGGGGTATGAGTGTGGGCGTGTGTCTTCACTTCATCCATACTCAGACACACCCCACACCCACCCACCCACACCCCACAATGGTTAAATCAAACCCAATCAATTAGCAAGCGAGCCATGATGACGAGAACTATTTATCTTTTTATAGATGCATAGCAGCATATTAGTTCTATGATCTTCTTCTTCGTGAGTACCATATGTTCAAGGAAATCACATCCTTTTAGTAGAGGGTTAGCGACGTTTCGTCGCGTTACTTGTTTTTTTGAAAAAAATCATCAAATTTAAAGAGTTTAAACCAGTTGTGATAAAGAACATTCTCGAATTCTATCATTTTGAAGATAATCTGGGTAGAGAAACCTTAATATAGTTGAAGAATCAAAAAATAGATATTTTGAAAAATATTAACCGCCTTTCAACACTAGATTTCTCTAGAGCAAGCACCCTTAAATGATTCGCTAGACATTTAAATGTTGTACCATCATCAGAAGCAGACCTCGAAATTCAGTTGCTTATCCTTGACTAAGTCTGATCAAGCTTAATACAGATATATGATCATATTCAGTTGTTTGGGATGTCATATTTTCTTATCCTGAACTCTGACTTTCCTGAATAAAACGGAGAGACAAACATTTATGCCTTTTTAAGTGGGATATGTATTGCTATATGACTGTTTCTTTAAGAAAACGAAATTAGATGTCGTTTAGTTGTTTCCGGTTGTTCAGCAAGGTCAGTAGCATGACCAAGTGGCGACCACCCTAAATCAGAATAACTTGAAAAAAACATATTTTTTTCAAAATCATACTATTCTGCACAGCTTCTTGAAACCTTTAGGACGGCATAACTACATCTATATTTGCTTACAACATAACAAGCAAATAACGCCCTGCTAGTATTCACAAATCCTTTACTGGATAGGCTATATTACGTCAAATGTTTAATAAGGAATTATTTTGGTTCAAGAATCAGATCATTTGATAATTTCTGAAGGTGCCACAACTTCCACTTATTATAGTTACGATAAGCTTTCTAAATCAACGTCTAGTCGTTCGTCGGCCCTCCTCCGGTCGGCCACTCACGACTCGCCGTTTCCATATATGGTTTCTTTTTCTGCCTACCATTTGTTACATTAGTACTTTGATGCGCAGAACAAATAGTTTACTCATGACGTATCGATATGTAATCAAAAATTTCCAACATTTAAATAATGTTGTGTACTTTTCGTCATAGTTTTCAACTTCTTTTTATTTTAACAAAATGATATATTGCCGAATTTGTTTTCAAACTAGCATTAGTTAAGTTCTTTTGAGAATCTCCCCAAACCGCTTCAGACTCATTTCAAAATTATGCTCTAAAATAACCTTCTTAGTCAGCGTCTAGTCGTTCGTCGGCCTCCCTCCGGTCGGCCACTCACGACTAGCCGTGCCCATACTTAACGCCATTAAGTTGTTCGATATTACTTCAGGTTTGGAGCGAATAGATGCATCTCGTTTGAATTCCTTTCGAAAATTTACTGAGCATATGTTAATACCCTCATAAAGAAGAAACTAAAAAAAAGAGAACTATTTATAAATTGCTACAAATAGAGTACATTACATTGTCGCTTAGAAATGATTTTCGTCTATTTTAAATATTATTTTACATTTGATGTCTACGAAGAGACAATAAGTGGACTTCAAGCGACCACTTCGTTTTCTACATATCTATGTATAAATCTTACCCAAAGGCCTGATGTTTTGTAATCAACAAGGAAAAAACCTTATATTAAAAGCAATCTCGAGCATGGATTCGTGACCCTCGACTATACTTAAGTCAAGCTTAAAATAACAAGGAATTCATTAAAAGAAGCTTAAAAAAAGGCCAAAAAGGCTTCGATTAACTTCGAATTCACATTTTTCATGCTCGATAATGATCAGCCAAGGTTTATAGAAAACAATGATACATTAATTTATCATTAATTAATAACTGCCAATATTAGAAAGCTGACCTAAGATTTGCATTCCTCATAGCCAATTCTCTTTACTAGAGTTTTACTAAAGACAGTTAATATTACTGATTATTACTTATTTGATAAAAACAACTGAGTTCTGACTTATCGATCTTCGACTATATTGGATTAAACTTATTAAGAAAAGTATAAAACTAATTCTTAATTGTTTATTAACTTCTTATTAAAATCACATTTGATTCAAATTCGATATATTTCCCTTCGATTACTTTTCGTAGAGCTTTTTATAGACTATCAGAAGCTTTTGATATCAATCTAGCCGACACCGTTTTCCCATTGGCTAGGGTGCACAAATATACAAACAGACATCAGGATCAATCATACATGCAGAACGGCAAACTTATTTTATGTTATATCATCTCTCCTTCAGTCTAAGGAAAAAATCATTATTTTCTTTAAAAAAACCTTCCGCAGCCAAAAACTCATTTCAAA